CGGCCCACGTGGGCATCTTGGATGGTCACTTGACTGGTATTTGCTTCCCTAGCAGCTCTGTTTCCTTGGCCTGGGAATGTGATGCAAGACAGGGGGGCCATGAGCCCTGACAGTCCCTCTCCTTAGACTGACGGAAGGAACGCGTATAACCCTATGCAAGTCCCCGTCCTGGGACGCTCTCCGTTGAAGCTGTTGAGTTGCCGCATGTGGCCAAGAGCTTCAAGACCCCTGACCCATCAGGAGGGGCTGGAGGGGCTGGAGGGGTAAAGGGGAGGCCCACCCAGGGCTGACCACCCATGGCCAGAAGTTGTTCCTGACCCAGTGTCAGGACTCCAGGACATTTTCCAAACAGAGAAAAGCAGCTACTTACAGCCCAAAAACCCAGGAGTGAGCTCTTCCTCACATACCTGACCTCAGGTGCAAAGTGGAATTCAGGAAGAGAAAGAAGCTGGCGAAACCCCTCTAGCTGCTTCAGCTGCCCTTCCCGCACCACGTGTGGACTTCCGTTTGCAAGAATGACTCATGAGCTCCAATTAGAGCCGTGCTAACCAGGAGCCCCTCTTATGTTTTATTAGGTGGGCACGTCTCTGGCCAGTTCTCCTTAAAATTCATGGCTTCATCCCCACAGTGTAATAGATCTGCCCCGACAGCCTACAACATTTTTGCTTTTCTCTGTATGTGAATTACAGGCTGGAGCCGGCATGACCAGTGCATCTTGGGTCTTTGTTCATTTAGCTTTGAAAGGCAAGAATCAAAAATCTTGAAAACTTTAAAGAAACCTCTTCTAAAATAATGGAATTACAGTCTAGGAAATATTCATTTCTGAGGCAAAAGATTGATTTGCCTGGGGTGTCGTGGAAGGCAGCTTCGCGGGGAGTGCAGAGGGCAGACTGCAGGACGGCTCTTGGCTTTCTGAGCACAGATGTTTTCTCTGCCACCCCCTTAGCTACGGTTGACCCCAAAAGGGTTGAGAACAGGTGAGAATGAGGAAGGGATTCAATTTAGTGAGCAATCCGGGTGCTGTATGCTGGTTTAAGGCAGAACTGAGAATGACAAATGGTTCTTAACTTCAATTTACCAAAATGTTGATTTTAAAGACTTGACATACATATGGAATAGCACTGCAAAGCGGAATTTAAAAAGAAC